TGCAATATCGTTCAGCTTTTACAATGTCATACATATCCAGTACCTTGATATTATACATGTCGGCTGACCAACACTTATAGCACTGACATTCAAATTCACCACTATCCCTACCGCACTTGTCACGAAGTAGTTTCTGTATAGCAGGATTTCTTTCACGATTTACAAGGAGCATACGTATATCCCCTATCATCATCACTTCAGCTCTTGTACCGCTATACGTGTCCATTTCAATGCATCTACAATAATGATTAAGTTTCTTTGCAATATTCCGCAACAAATCATCTTCGGATGCACTGGTATTTTTCGTTTCACGATTCTTACACTCGTCTCGCAATCGCGTGTACGCGTCTCGTTGCGCGCGTAAGGACTTCCAGTTCTAAACGGGGCCTCCATTGATACTTACTCGTTTCACACCGAGATCACCGTCTATTTCACGATCGCGCAGTACCTGCACCGGCGATGTCGGTGCAAAATCGTCTTTACTCTTAGGATTTTCAAATATGTATTTAATGTTCCCTATTTGTAATTCATCATTTATTTCTCTTGCTTTGGGGTCTCGCACCCACTCCACTGGCACATTACACATGTTCTTACTGTTTTTCCATTACACTGTGCAGATCGGGCAGCACGGGAACACCAGACACATGAGTTTCCGGCAATTGGAGCACGTTTCGGCGCTGAGTACCTCGATGAAATCGGTGTCGTGCTTCCTGATCAGCAGCATTGAACCGACTTCGGCATCGGCGATGTTGACCATGCACTCGGCACACAGGGCTAGCGCTCCGCTTGTAGAGTGGTAACACTGGATCTGGCAGTGTTTAACGCGAAAAACACCCAGTGCCCGGATTTGCGCGTCCGGGATAATTTTTCGCACACGATCGGTAGTGTTCTCAAGATCGCTGACGCATCCGGTATCGACGGATAATACGCTATCGTCGGAAGACTCGACGTCCATAACGTCTTCGACGTCTTCGTCAACGTTATCCACTTGACAACGTCCATCACTTTGTCACACACTGTGTATATTCGACTTGCACATTCAGACACTATCGGAGCGCGACACTTAATGAGGCGTACCGCGCTTCCGAATAGTTTCGCTATTTATACCGTGTGCGGCTTCTTTGTCAGCGTGAACGCGTCTTCCTAGAACTACATCTCGCCACTCTTCTTAGAAATTTTATCGCGCAAGATAACGCGTAGTAATTTGATAACGTTCAGCAGCCATCGGCGCTCTTCTTAGAAATTTTATCGCGCAAGATAACGCGTAGTAATTTGATAACGTTCAGCAGCCATCGGCGCTCTTCTTAGAAATTTTATCGCGCAAGATAACGCGTAGTAATTTGATCCTTGTGCGAACCTGTCGTCCTGGACTCGCGAACGCGTTGAAACTTGATACTCGGTATCGTCTCGCATTTTGAAAACGCCCGCGCTGGAGCATGCATCACGTGATCAGTGCCATGTGATCGCTGTGCTAACCTGTCGTCGTCCGATGACGTCATCGCATGCATCGGATGCGGCCTTTTGAAAAAGTATCCTCAGGGGGGCAGCGGGGGGAACGGCGCGATGAGTCCGGCTGTCAGGGCCAGCGGCGGCCTTTTGTAACGAAATATCCCGAGGGGGACGGCGGAGGGAGGCCCGGTGGCGGCGGCCCGGTGGCGGCGGCCCCGGCGCGATAAGGCCCCAGGGCGAAGGGCCAACGGCGCGGCGGCGGTTCCCCCTCCCCTCCCCCGTACCTTCCCCGCGCACCTCACCCCCCCTCGGAGCTCCCGGTCATGAATCCTCCTAGACTATCTACTAACTGGTGCACAGAGTGCAATAAGTTGAAGTGAAACAGATATACGTTTGTTTCATTTCAACTTATTGCACTGTATGTACCAGTTCAGACAGTGCAGGCAAAAAGAACAGGCCTAATATAAAGGCAGGAGCATGCTAAAATTATATAAGGTATTGTACTGCGCATGATATGGTACGGCCAATTAAAAATCGATCCTAATTGTTAAATTAGCTAGCGATAGCCAATGAGTGCCGCTTTTTCTTTTAAGTATATCCCGCCATTAATTGTCGCTAGTTAACGATAAAGACAATTATCGATAAGACATTTACAGAATCCCGGCTCTGATTCGTTATGATGCTTCAGCACTGAATCATGGAATTTTGGCCCATACGACCCATACTGGACTAATCCTACATTCTACATTAGTCTCATCATAGTGTCGCAAGCGTATCACTATAAGCGATATCTTGACGTTGAATAGACCGTAACAATTGCGATACTGCGATATGCGATTAATGTAGAATCACAGCTTAAAGGTATCTTCATATTATCTGCGTTTGGCAATGCAACTTTGAAGCGTCGGAGTGCTCTTTATTTCTACAGTGTACGTGACATATATGCTATATAGTATAAGAGCACTCCGACGCCTCAGATTTGCAATTACCGAACGCAGCTATTTATGGACGGGGCCAAAATTTCATGATTCCATCACTGCTTGAGCGCCATAGCGAACGACTGCCGAACATGTCCGTGCGTGTCCGATTTCTTTCGTAGAGCCATAGCGCGATTGTTTCAACAGTTTTTACCACTCGTAGTCGGAGTGAATAGACAACAGTGAGTCTGCTTAACGCAGCCAATCAGTCGCATGCGAAATCATCCACAAATTGTTGGTAAGCTATTATTGTCAATGTAAGATTGAATTTTTCGACTTTACATTCCTGATCATGATCTACGACAATTAACTCGTAAGAACTCGCGCGTAAAACTCGAACTAAAAAACCTAAATTAACAAAAACGAATGTTCATCCATTCTTGGATTTCGCGACGCTGCATCGACGCTCAATAATTGTAGGTGGAAATAACAGTTTTTTTTCACATCTAAAAAGTCACGTGAGTGCTTACAGGTTAAACTGCGTGCCACGATTTTGTTTATCTTTTAGCATTCAGATTATCGAGTCGTGAGCACTGAAATATTCAATGGTTGCAAGCCGAGCCTATGTACACATTCAAAAATTTGATGTGAATCTATATTCATTTAAATGTAGATACATACATCTACACTCAGTCCATTCTTTATTTTTTGGATTCACATCACAAAATTTTTAATATGGACGTAAGCTCCGCTTGCGGCTCGATGTTTTGTTCAATAATCTAAGGTTGTTTCGGATCAGTACAATAAGACGTTCGAAACGCTTCGCTCTCGGTTACGTCATGCGTGACGCACACAGGTGTGGGCCAATGATGCGCGGCGCCTCAGCGAGGGGCAGCCAACCAAAATACAAATATCCAACAGAAAACGAATATTCGTGGTGCTTCCAGATTGTTCCTTTTGTGATGTAATTTCCGAAAAAAAATTGATCCCAGCAATTGTAAGAATAATCTGGAAGTACGCGAACATAAAAATGCGAAACGGTGACGGTCCGGGCTTTTTTTCCTTCGAGCTGTTGGCGAGTAGACAGTGTTGTTGTGCTGAAAAGAAAGGCGATTAGAATTCGGTGTGCTTATCCTCCGATAATTGTAAAATTCAGTTGTGCTAGTGTGTATTTGTTGGCGCAGTGAATCTAATAAAGTTAATGGTATGTTTGTGAAAGTGAATACGTGCGTGTCTTAATTTTTTGTCCTCATCTATTCCGCTTCGCTACATTTTTGGTCCTTCGAGCCGGATAACGGTAAATCGGCAATCTCTGAGTAAATTCGCTCATAGTGCAGTTCAGAACATTCCTTTGCGTGAATCTGAAAAAAGGATGGAGGCAATAATTGAGGCCCAAGAAGAGATAGAACTTTACGGGCGCATCGCGCGCGCACATGAGAACCTGAGAAAGTCAGGTGCCGCAAAACTGACGAAGGCTCTTGTATCCACCACGCTCAAGCTCCTCGATAACAAATGGCAGAAATTCGAAGCGCAGCACGAGCGTCTACGGGAGAATCATCTCGACGACCTGAAAAAACACGAGTATTATCTGAAGGACTTTATAGGACAGGCAGAAGAAGTATACATTCATCAGAAGGCCGTGCTGATCGAACTCGAGAATTCGATGAGTAGTGAAACAACCAAGGCGGAGACAAAGGTGAATGTGGAAGCGGCTGCGTCTCCCAGCACCACACTGCCACGTCTCCAAATCCCGCAATTCTCAGGCAAGTACGAGGATTGCCCAGCTTTTCGGGACCTCTTCTCATCATTGTTCGTGAAGGTTTCATCGATTTCCGACGTCACGAAGATGCATTATTTGAAGACGAGCCTGAAGGGAGACGCGGAATTACTGAATTACTTATAAAAAACTTGCCTACTACAGAAAACAACTTCTCGCTTGTTTGGCAAACTCTCACCAATCACTACGAGAATACGAGACTGCTCGTTCGATCCTTCTACGCAAATCTCTTGGCCTTGCCCAAACTGAAATCGGAGTCAGCAGCTGATCTGCGTAAGCTCTTTCATTGCGCCAGAAATATAGCAGGAGCCCTCGTCAATGTTGGACGACCCATAACGAACGGAGAGGACCTATATGTGTGCTGGATCACAGACTTGCTGGATACACGAACTCGGGCCCGATGGGAAGAGCACATTGGTGGTAAGACACTGCCACCGTCGTTCACGGAGCTGCAGGAATTCTTGGAGCGAAGGCTGCGGACGCTAGAAGCCGTATCCGGTAGTAAGGTCGATGCAAATCCAGGGAAGGCGAGTGGCTCAAAGGTCGTTCGCGCACATCATGCGCAACCAGAAAGAGAGCGCTGTGCTTTGTGTCGCAAGGATCACTGCTTGATGATGTGCGAGGCCTTTAAGAAGAAAACCTGTGCAGAACGGAAGCAGTTCGTTGACAGCGCAAAGCTATGCTTGAATTGTTTTGGGAAGCACAAAGTGAGTGAGTGCGTTACCAAACGCTCATGTACGGTGTGCGGGGAACGACACCACACCACTTTACACGATGCCTGGCGCTTTCCAGCCGAGAAGTCTTTTCCTGCATCTGATCAAGGCCATTCGGGGAGCGAGGTAGCCTAAACGACGCACATGAGTCACCAGACCGCGAGGGGACAGACCGCCGTCCTCGCGACGGCGCGCGTGAATGTCGTGGATCGATCGGGAGAGTTCCATTCGGCTCGCGCTCTCATCGACCAAGGGGCCGAGGGGTCCATCATCTCCGAGGCGTTGGTGCAAAAGCTTCGACTCCCTCGACAGCGTACATCCATCGCAGTATTTGACGTTGGAGGACAGCAGACAGCGGTCGCGCGCGGACAAGTATCGCTGTCGATTTCTTCGCTCAACAAGCAACACAGTGTGAAGGTCTCAGCAATTGTTATGCCACGTCTTACACTCTACGCGGGCGTGTCAAGCACTTTAGTTAGAGACTGGCCGCATCTTCGAGGACTCGAATTGGCCGACCAGGAGTTTTGCGCATCGGATAGCATCAACATCCTCTTAGGTGCTGATGTTCTCGCGGAAATAATTGGTCCCGGTATCAGGAAGGGAGGACCTCACGAACCTATAGCTCAGCAGACAGACCTAGGATGGATCGTGTCAGGAACGGTGGCCGGCGAGGTGTCGTCTCATTTGTCAGTTCGGATGCATCAATGCACTTTGAGCGATCCACTGTCGACCATAATGCGAAAATTTTGGGAACAAGAGGAGATAAACGTGACTTCGACACCATTGAGCTCGGAAGAACAGCAGTGTGAAGAACTGTTCACTCACACACACACACACACACACACACGTGCCTTAGACGGGAGGTATACGGTTCGCTTACCTGTCAAAGCGCCATTACCAAACTTGTCTGCGACAAGAGAGGCGGCAGTTCGCATGTTGCAACGCATGGAGAATCGTTTTGAAAAGGATTCTTCATTTCATGGGTTGTACACGAGCTTCATGCAGCAATATGAAGAATTGCAACACATGACTCGCATGGGTCACACAGACAACATGCAAAAAGTATGTTATCTACCACATCATGGAGTGCTGAAGGAGTCAAGCGCCACGACGAAACTACGAGTGGTCTTCAACGGCTCATACACCACAGGGAACGGAAGGTCCTTGAATGCTCACTTGCTGGTGGGCCCCAATCTGTTGCCGCAGCTTGCCGATGTGTTGCTTCGGTGGCGCTGGCATAAATACGTCTTCGTGGCCGACATCGAAAAGATGTATCGGCAAATCCTGGTGCACCCTGACGACCGGGATCTCCAGCGAGTGTTGTGGAGGCCTGAGAGAAACGCAGCGATTGAAGAGTACCAGTTGAACACAGTCACGTATGGATTGGCGTGTGCGCCCTATCTAGCCATGCGTGCCTTGCGTCAACTCGCCGAGGATGAGGCTCTTCAGTTTCCCAGAGGCGCCGCTACATTGAAGCAGGACGTGTACGTCGACGACATTCTGTCTGGAGCACCAACTACGACAGATGCTTTAGAGATCTAGAAACAACTGCTGGGGATGTGCACGACGGGCGGTTTTCCTTTGAAAAAATGGGCCGCCAATGATGAATCGCTACTTCTCAACATCTAGGAAAATGACCGCGCTCAACCTGATCCTCGAGGCTGGCAAAACAGCGAAGGTCATTCGGCCCTGGGACTGCTATGGCATCCTGCCAGTGACTGCTTCGTATTCTCTAACCAGCCACTGGAACGGAAGATTGTCATAAAGCGTTTGATCGTCTCCCAGGCTGCGCAGCTGTTCGACCCATTAGGGTGGTTGTCTCCGGTGATAGTGCGAGCGAAAATATTTATCCAGCACACTTGGTTACAGAGACTTGACTGGGACACTCCGGTGAACGAGCTAGACCAAGAGAGATGACAAACTTTCCTTGATGAGCTTCCGCAGGTAAAGGACATCAAGGTGCCGCACTGGTTAGCGAGTTCCAGCGTCGAGGAAACCATGGAGCTGCATGGCTTCGCAGATGCATCTGAACAGGCGTACGGCGCAGTAGTGTACTTACGAACGTGGAGAGTGAATGATTGGCATGTGAGATTGGTGATCGCCAAGACTAGGGTAGCACCCTTGAAGCAAGTGTCCCTACCTCGATTGGAGTTGTGCGCAGCCACTCTCCTCACGCACCTGATGGTACACACATGCGGCGTCCTAGGCATTTCGGACAAGCCTACGCACATGTGGACAGATTCCATGGTCACCTTGGGATGGATTAAAGGTCATTCCTCGAGATGGAAGACTTACGTGGCCAACCGAGTGTCGGAGATACAAACGGCCCTTCCAAACGCTCAGTGGCACCACGTGTCAGGACAGAACAATCCAGCGGATTGTGCATCGCGCGGAATGTCGCCAAACAACCTAGCACAGCATACCTTATGGTGGCAGGGGCCCTCATGGTTCTCGGGTGATATGACTAGATGGACAGAAGCGCCGGTGATAGAGCAGGATCTACCAGAGCAGAGAAGCAAAGTTCATGCTGTAACGATTCCTCCGACAAAAGAAGAGGCAGAGCTTTTGGCAAGATACTCTTCTCTACGCAGATTGTTGAGAATCTCAGCGTGGTGTCTCCGGTGGCGGCATGGACAGCGTGGCGACCACGGCAAGGTGTCAAGAAAACCGGAGATACTGTCAGCAGAGGAAGTGGACCTGGCACTCATGGCTTGGATCCGAACAGTGCAGGAAGCCACCTACAAGGAAGAAATTTAAGCAGTACGGAAGGACAAACCCCTAAATAATAAGAGCGCACTTGTCAAATTGAATCCCTTCATGGATCCGCAGAGGGTCCTACGAGTTGGAGGTCGCATCAAGCATTCACTGTTGGCATTCGACGAGAAACATCCTATCCTTCTGCCGAAGGACTCAACACTGACACGACTCCTGGTTGACTCCTGTCATTCAAGGACGCTGCACGGGGGCGTGCAGCAAACGCTTGCTCTGCTCAGACAGAGATTCTGGGTACCTGGCGGACGAACTCTGATGAAAGGTCACATTCATCGGTGTCGACGATGCATACGATGGCGGGCGGCTACGCCTCAACAAATCATGGCCGATCTTCCGGAACCTCGTGTCACGCCATCACGCCCATTTCAACACACAGGGGTGCATTACGCGGGTCCTGTGATGCTACGGACCTCTCGTGGTCGAGGTCACAAGGCACACAAGGCCTATATCGCGGTCTTCGTGTGTCTTAGCACCAAGGCCGTTCATCTGGAGATTGTTTCAGACTACACAACGGAAGCCTTCTTGGCCGCTCTGCGTCAATTCATCTCTCGACGAGGAGTGTGCCAGGTGATCTACTCTGACTGCGGTACTAAATTCGTGGGCGCTGACGCCACTCTTCGTAGCATGTTTCAGGCAAGCAGTATGGAGGCGCGACGGGTCAGTCAGGTCATGGCAGAGGAACGCATACAGTGACGGTTCAACCCACCTGCAGCGCCGCACTTTGGAGGACTGTGGGAGGCTGCGGTTAAATCACTCAAGCACCATCTCAGACGAGTGATTGGAGACACAACACTTACATTTGAGGAAATGGCAACATTCTTAGCTCAGGTGGAGGCATGTCTCAATTCACGACCACTCTGCCCAATGATCGACGATCCTGAGGACCTTGCAGCATTGACGCCAGAACACTTCCTTGTAGGATCAGCACTCCTGACGGTTCCTGAGCCTGCACCAGCAGACGCGCTTACAAATCTGTCAAGATGGCAAGTCATTCAGAAAATGCGGAGCCATTTCTGGGACCGGTGGGCTAAGGAGTATGTACCTGGCTTAGCTTCAAGATCCAAGTGGCACAAGGTCAACGCGAAGCCAAAAGTCGGACAGATGTGCCTTCTAAGGAGCGAGACCACACCACCCACTAAATGGCCACTTGCGCGGATTACAGCTCTTCACCCGGGGCAGGACGGACACGTGCGAGTCGTCACAGTCAAAACAGCCACATCGGAACTAACGAGGCCTTTGGTGAAGCTAGTTCTGTTTCCGGATGACCAATCTGAGCCTGCGCAAGATAAGTTAGCTTCCACAAGTTAATGGTTTCTCGCTCGCGAAAAGCGTCGATATCAAACAGAAAAAAAATTATTAATTACACAGCCCCACAAAATTAAGGGTGGGTCTTGACGAGTAAACCAGACTAGTTAATTCTTATAGATTTTTCGATGCTGAAACCGAATCCGACCTCCAAATTTGTCCATCACGTCAGGATTTTGCGTAATTTAACGTTAAATGTGCCAAAAAAGGCATTTTTGGCAATATTTGCCATTAATTTGTAACGACCTAACTTTCGACGGCACGGATCTAGCTCGTCGGTTTCTCTGGCCAGGGTTTCGAAAGAGGTTCGTGCGGAGGGAAAATGCAGTAATAAATCTCCGACAATGTGTGTTTCGATTTTAGAGAAAATGCCTGTATTTGTCGTTTGTATGGTACATATAAATGTGTGTGCTTATTGTGTATATAATATGTTTATATGTCGATGTAACTGTATTTAGTCGATATGTGTATAATTAAGGCGTATGTGTGGTTCGGTATTTATAACTCTATAATACGCGCGCTGTGTGTTCGGAGCGTGTCGAGTTTCGCTGGTGTCGAAAGATGAGTATGTCGGATGAGGCGTGTTTGTGTATGTGCGTCAGCTGTTCGTTGCTATGTGTGCGGCGATGGTCGCAGGTGACTTCGGTACGACTGCGTGTGTGAATGTGAGTGTGTGTGTAAGTGTGTGTGCACGGGCGCGGCTGTCTCGTCGCGCGAGAAGTTTTTTTTCTATTGTGTATTCGTCTCGCACGTGATGTCGAATACACGTGCTACGGTTTTTGGCACGCGGTTTCACGTAACGCGGGTCTTTTTCGCGGATCGCCTAAGACAGCGGCCGACGACCGAGAACTCTCGGTGGAGGCGGAGAACTCTCCACCCCTGTTCTACGTGTCGGCCGGTCGTGGATACGTCCTTTTTTTGAAGAGCGGCGGCCCTTGGCCGACGGTCGAGAACGCTCGACAGAGGCGGAGTACTCTCCACCCCGGACGTCGGTGTGACCGCTGGCGCACTGGCAACTGTCGAGAACGCTCGACGGAGGTGGAGTACTCTCCACCCCGGTTTTCTTGTTGCTCAGTGTGCGAGGATATCCCCGGAACTACCGAGAACTCTCGGCGGAGCCTGAGTACGCTCAAGCCCGGTTTTCTTGTTCGTCGGATTCTCCGTGTTTTAGCGGGGCTGGTGATCGGAGCAGGAGTCGGCAGGAATAGCGCGATTTTCTCGCAAACGTGACATTTTATGTCACGACAGATATCGCGTTCGTATCAACTCGGCGTGTTTCGTTGTCTCCCGCCGATAGCTACTGCGAGATAGCTATCGGTGGGAGACATTTTCGTCCGAACGCGGCCGAACATGTTCGGCGCGTTTCGGTATCTCGCGCCGGTTGCTGCTGCCGGTGCCTGTGAATTATGCTTTGAATATTATCGGGCGCTATGCGCCCTCATCGCTGCATCGCTTAGCGGTGCAGCGGCGTCCGGCTGGTTGGTATTAGCCGGGAACGATGCATGAGAGGGGTGCATCGTTACAAATTTGTGGTAAAAATAATTTTTTTTCGAAAGTTTTTCAACGGCATTCAAAAGCATAAGGAATGAGTTTTCAAATGCGCTTTTGAAATTGTCTCTACGATTTTTTTTGGTGGAGTTATGAGGAAACAAAGTTGCGCTTGCACGTACTGCTCTATAGGCTGATCTAAGTCAGCCGCGCCTGACAAGTTCGATTGTTATCGATATGTATTTCATATAGTAAGTGAGTGATATAGCCGAAGTTATATTTCTGTGTATTTTAGCGTTAATGGGTTCATACAGGAAGTATACACAAGCAGTTATGTAGTTACCGTTACAGCCAGTAGGTGAAGACATGACTGTTACAGCGCTGGCCCGTCTCCCGTTCAAGAAATGGATTTCTGTGGTATATGTAAGGCGGCGTAGTGAATGCCATTACCGCATGAGATATTTGGATACAGAAGCATTTATGCGTATATGTCTGACGGGTTTCATCGTTACTGTAGCATAAAATAAATTGCTGATTTAACATAAAGATGTCTGCGAGATATTCATGTAAAAATAGCCCGGATAATTTTTGCTACATGTGCGGAAATTTTGAAGTTCTAAAATATAGGAGACCTTTGACTGACAAAAGGAAAATATGTTATTGCAAGTGTTTCGGAATAACTATAAGTAATCAAGATAAAACTTGGGTTCCGCACATACTGTGCAATTCTTGTGATATATCTTTGATTCGTTGAAATAATGGTGATAAAAACGCTGTACATTTTAGTGCGCCAATGATGTGGAGAATGCCCACTAATCACCTAACAGATTGCTATTTCTGTTTATGTTCTGTACAAGGTTTCAATGCTAAAAATAAGAAAAATATAATGTACCCGAATGTTTCAACAGTTACTCGACCTGTAATGCACATATTGAATGATATTGATGACCGAACACATTTAGAAAATTTCGTCATAGAAAATGAAACTGCAAATTCCGATTCTGAGGCGAATGCTTCGACATCCTCTAAGCAGCCTGCAGTTGATTTTGATTATTATGAAGCGCCCAATTCGACATCCATTAAAAATACCAAGCAGACTATACATTTCAATCGTGAGGGATTGAATGATTTCGTGCGGGATTTATATCTCTCAAAAGACTTGTCAGAAATATTAGCTTCGAGGTTAAAAGAAAGAAATATGTTGAATTCTGATGTAAATATTACCTTCTATAGAAATAGAGAACAAGAATTTTTAAAATACTTCTCTAATCATGAGTCGCTTGTATTTTACTGTAATGTGGAAGGATTGGTTAATGAATTAGGGAGTACTTATTGCTCAGATAACTTTAGACTTTTTATAGATTCATCAAACAGAAGTTTGAAAGCAGTATTATTGCACAACGGTAACACTTTGGCATGTATACCAACCGCGCATTCGGTGACCTTAAAAGAAAAGTACGAAAATTTGGAAGTACTTTTACAAAAAATTAAATACTCGGAACATAATTGGCTTATTTGTGGAGATTTAAAAATTATATCAATGTTGTTAGGACAACAGTCAGGGTTCACAAAATTTCCTTGTTTTTTGTGCGAGTGGGATAGCCGTGCTCGAGATCAACATTACACAGAGAAGAAGTGGCCACCAAGAGCAACCTTGACACCAAATGTTAAAAATGTAATAAAAGAAAATTTAATTGATCCGAAAAAAGTCATATTACCTCCATTACATATAAAGCTTGGAATAATGAAGCAGTTTGTAACAGCTCTGAATAAAGAGGGGGAATGCTTTCAATATATTTGTATAAAATTCCAGAACTTATCAAACGCCAAATTAAAAGCGGGTGTCTTTAATGGACCTCAAATTCGATCATTAATGAAAGACGAAAAGTTTGTTACTTCAATGAATGAGAGAAAGGCATGGCTTAGCTTTAAAAACGTCGTTGAAAAGTTTTTGGGTAACAGAAAAGATGCTCAGTACAAAGAAATTGTTCACGATATGCTTATAAACTTTAAGAATTTATAGTGTTTAATGAGCGTTAAATTGCATTTCTTGCATGATCATTTAGATTTCTTCCCTGATAATCTTGGAGATTTCAGTGAAGAACAAGGCGAACTATTTCACCAAGATTTGAAAGAAATGGAGAGACGGTATCAGGGCAGGTGGGATGAACATATGATGGCTGACTACTGTTGGGCATTAAAAAGAGATATGTCCGATGACCTATCTTATAAAAGAAAACCAATGAGGCGGTCCTTTAAAAATAAAAAAATTCGTTATTGTAAAGAATAGTAGAAATATTTCTTTCAGATTTAATTTAGTTTATATGTTTGTTTTATATTCCTGGCGCAGGTGCCCCCATCCTAATGATGGGTACATTCTATAAAGAAGTGGTATCTTCACGTGATATAACTAAATTCATATATACCAATTTTTTTTAAATTATAGAAAAAAAACAATAAAAATATTACAAAAAGCAAAAAAAAAATATTAAAAGCAAAAAAATATAAACAATCAAAGGTTAGAAATGTTTGCAAATAAACAGATTCCTGGCGCAGGTGCCCCCATCCTAATGATGGGTAAGTCCTGTAACGAAGTGGTACCTCCACGTGGTACAGGATGGGTAACGCTAAATTCGCTTCAACCATATTTGGTAATAAATTTGGGACAAAATGTCTTTTAATCTAAATTGATTAAAAAATAAACCAGTACTCCTGAATAATATACTTTATGTGACCTTGTACGAAATAAATGCTAGTTCAGGAGGTCAAAAATAATAGAATAACCTTGGGAAATAGAATTATAATAGACCATGGAAACTTGTCCTGCGCGGTTGTGCTTGGATTAGTCTATAGAGCAGTACGTGCAATGCGCCCACAGCGCAACTTTGTTTCCTCATAAT